AAGGTGTGGTTGTATAATCCCAGGAAGACCAAAGGGAAGTCTCCTAAGTTGTCTTCTTCTTGGGATGGCCCATATAACATAGTGGATCGTCTCTCAGACGTGACTTTCCGAATAAAATGTGGCCGGCGAGGTAAGCCAAAGGTGGTGCATGCCAACAGGCTTTAGCATTATCATGGTCCAGGACATTTCAGTTGGAATGAAGTGAACAACAGAACAAATGACGCTGCTGAAGACGTGTCACCTGGAAAAGCCACTGTCAAAGAAGAAACTCTACCCGGTTTTGAGAAGGGAAACAGTGAAACCCTTGATGAAGTTACTACCACTGATGTAACTGTTAGCGATAATAGGACATTTCCTGATGGAGCAGATGAACCCCACGTGAAGCAGAAGCCAACCAAATGGAGACCAGTACGGAAGAAGATACGTCCCGTAAAATTAAGAGACTTTGTTAAATTTTAATTTTGTGGTTGTAAATTCTGTACATTTAATTAAGTTATTGTTAATTATCTATTAGTTTAATGTAAGTGGCTATTGTTCGGGACGAACAATACTAAGGAAGGGGCAGTGTTACGACAGCAGAATTCACGTGACGCTGGTAACACGTAATGAGTATCTAGAAGGTTCGTGAAGACTCGAGTGTTTGCCAGACGCCCTCTATTTTGTATATATAAGACCTGCAAGAAGTGACGGCATAGATAAGGGCAGATAGGGAGATATAGAGACAGATAATCGAGTCGAGTGAGCGGTATTGACCGTAAGTAAAGTGCGTGAATCGTTGTGAATTATAGTGTGTGTTGAAGTTAAAGTGACTGTGTAAATTCTGTGTATTGCAAAGTTGTGTTGAGAAAGAATAAATTAGTTTTATTTAAGAAAGGACTTGTATCGCTGAAGTTCTTCGGAAAGAATTTTTACGGAAATTAACAAGCGACCAGAGACGTAACAGTTCTTTAACAAAAGCAGCTTTGTTTTGGGAAAACTTTTGATCAAATCAAAAAGAAAATTTTGGGAGATAAGTTTTTTTTCGAAGCAAGAGCTCGAACTCTAAAGTTAGACAAAATTATATATGAGAAAATAGTTTAGGGAATTTTCTGTTATTCAAAATTGCCACCCCTCATTTTAGAGTCAAAAGTTTAAATTTTATTGTTTGAAATCGTAAAATAAATCTTAGTTGTTTCAAAAGCGAAGTTTACAGCTAAATTAGTACCAAAATCTCTTCTAATACTAGTGAATAAAGAAAAATTAGTTGGGACGTTCTAACGTACACTAAATACACAGGACAAGAACTGGCTGTTCTATATGTATGACTCACCATTATTTTCTACCTGATCTCCACTAAATGCTCAAGAACTAGTACATACTTACACCTGTGACCTGAATTGAATATTCCAAATGTGAACTAGCAATTACATTTAATATTTAAGAATCTTGCAAGCATATTTAGGCCCGTCATGGCCAGGTGGGTAGGACGCTTGCCTCGCAATCTGCGGGTTCGCACCCCCCCGTCCCACCAAACATGCTCGCCCTTTTAGCCGTGAGGGTGTTATTATGTGACGGTCAATCCCACTATTCGTTCGTAAAAGAGTAGCCCAAGAGTTGGCGGTGGGTGGTGATGACTAGCTGCCTTCCCTCTA